TAGCTTATGATCGACCTGGGGTCATTTTTAGCCATTTATAACATACCAAAGAAAGTTGAAGAAAGTACAACCTTAGTTTCATTTGACATAGTTAGTTTGTACACAAATATACCCCATAAACTAGGTTTAGAAGCCATTTCATTTTGGTTAAATAAGTACCCAGAATTAATTACACATCGTTTTGATAAGAGCTTTATATTAAATGGCCTTGAAATAATTTTACAAAATAATATTTTTTCATTTAATAATCAATATTATAGTCAGGTAAAAGGTACACAGCCAAGGGGACAAAGGTTGCTCCATACTAGGTTATTTAGAAGAAACATTGTATTCAGAAATTAACAAACAGAAGGTGAAGATTTTGCTAATTATATTCAATGTACTGGAAAAGATTTTTGGATGATTGTTTTATATTTTGGCAAAGATCTCTAATTGATTTATTATATTTTGAAAAAAATACTTAATTCACTTCATAAAAATATACAATTTAAAAAACAACAAAGTACAGACAGACTTCCGTTGTTAGATGTAATGATTATTAAGAAAGGAACATATATAGTCACTGATGTATATTTTAAAAGTACTGATTCTAAACAAATTCTAAATTTTAAATCGTGTCATCCAAAACACATTAAAACAAATATCCCGTTTTCGCTAGCAAGAAGAATATGTGCAATTGTATCTGATAAGGAAAAACTTAAGATTAGACTTAAGGAACTCGCCATCACTCTTATTAAAAGAAAATTTCCAATTCAACTTATAAAAACTGGTATTAAAAAAGCCTTGGAGATTCCCGAACCACCTTACTTCAAGTTAAGGAGCAACCAAAAAACAAAATTCTTCCCATATATTTCAACATGTAACCCGAAAAAACAGAGAATTGTTTGGCATAATTAAAACAAACATGGAAACATTATGAAACATGATGAAAAAATGAAAAAGATAATAAGCAACACCAACATAATAAAATGCAAAAAGACAATTACTCAAATTTAAAAGCATTTTAATAAGTTCAGAATTTAAAGAAAAACAATATAATGCCCTGTGTTAAAAATGCAACGAACAGAGGCGTGGCCTCTGTGATTATTTAATAGAAGGATATTCTTTAAAACTTCAGAATAAAATATTTCATACAAAAGAAAATATGGACTGTACTGTTGAAAATGTTTTATATGTTTTAGTTTGCAACGGCTGCAAAGAATTTTACATAGGCAAAACAGGTGACAAACTCAGAAACAGAAAAAACTGTTCATGCTCAGCAGATAAGAGACCCATCAACCAGACAATTACTTTAAGTGAGCATTAAGATAAATGCTCTAAAAAAGACCCGAAATTTTGTATTTCCCATTTTATAAATTTCACAGTAAAAACGTTTCAGCTAGGTTATCTAAAGAACGCTATTTTATTGAATGTTTTTAATCCAAAACTTAATACTATATAATGACGTTACTATTTTTAGAATATGCGTACACATGTGTACACAAAAACGTCGTCGTTACTATGCGACGACGTCACATTTGATGATCATAAGAGAAACCGGTTGGCAAATAATTAAATAAGTTAACTCATGGACGGTGTTTTTTGTTTTATTTATATGTGACTTTTTTCCGGCACTTGTTTTCATTTTTTGTATATATATATATATATATATATATATATACACACACACACACACCAATAAATATATAATTATGGTCATTTAATGCACAAATCTGAGAAAATTCAGTAATTTAACTTTCAAGGTCAAGGTCATTAAAGAGCCCGAGCAAATTTGGGTTTGATAAACAAACAAGGTCTGGTCCTTAAGAATGTTCTGTTATAATATGAAGTTGATCCCTTCAATAAGAGCCAAAGTTACAGTCAGTTACCGCCAAAACAATGAAAATTTCAATAATTTGACCTTCAAAAACAATGTCATTAATGAGTGAAGGTCAAGGTTTTCGGTATATTTTTAACAGTTATCTTTGAAGATTATTATGTTCAAGTTTCAAGACAATCCATTCAAAAATAACAAAGTTACAGTCAATAATAGCCAAAAAATGAAAATTTCAATAATTTGACCTTCAAAGTCAAGGTCATTTATGAAGTGAAGGTCAAGGTCTGGCTGGTTATTTTTAAGGGATATCCTTGAAGATTATTATGTTCAAGTTTGAAGACAATCCATTCAAAAATAACAAAGTAACAGCCAATAACAGCATGAACAAGCAAAAATTGGACTTTTAACCTTGAAGGTCAAGGTCATTTATGGATGAAGGTCAAGGTTAGTGTGGTCTACTGAAAGGTCTTGTCCCAAGGGTTGTTGTGGCCAAGTATGAAGACAATACACCAAGAAATAAAAAAAATATGATCCAGATACAAGTTTGCGGACGGCAACGGCAACGCCGACCCGACTATAACAATACCTCTACTTTTTTTTTTTCAAAAAAAAAAAGTCGAGCTAAAAAACCCCTAAACAGAAGGGGGCACATTGGGGCCCAAATAGGACATTTTTTCACTATTTGAGGCCTAAAAAAAGGGGGGGGTGGTCGCAGTGCGTTGTTTCGCGTATATATATGAGGTAAAGGGTTATATAACCAAATAAAACAAAAATTGTGTTCATCTAATCAAAATTTTATTTACTATGTTTTCCATTTATAAAGTTATTTACATCAATGCATGCACAAAAGTTCTTTGTTTACAATCTACTATAACTCGCTACGTAATCATAGAAAATTCACTTTTTCAGAATAAGTGTCACGAATCATTGTCACATATTACCACATCACTTATAATGCACTTAATTACACTCCACATAAGTTCACTTACTAACACTCACTAATGTTCATTTTAAAACACTTCACTGAAAATTCGCCTAATAACACGTCATCAATAATTCACTTTCTAACACTATTCCAAATTAGAATCACTTTTCATTCACTATTTCACAAACTAAAATATTTCACCAACATGGTGATCAAGGAACTAAACACATTTTATACATATGTAATTTAATAGACAATTTTCTTAGTAGTTATATCACCAACATGATATAAATTTCCCAAGTGGTTACTTCACCAACATGGTGATCAAGGTACTTTACAACCTCATTCACTTATACACTAACTTTTCTAAGTACCTACATCACCTTCGTAGTGGAGCAGTTACTTAGCACATCTGGCACAAAGATACTAACACTTTATCATAAACAACTTAAACACTATGTCGATATGAAATTCATCAAGTTACACAAACTTGAACTTAGAAAATAAGAACTGTAAAACTTAACACATTTCAATTGAAGCAAATACTTGCCATTTGACATGTTTAACTGTTAAGACAATACCTGCTATTTTAAATATAGTTAAATACCTGCTATTTGACATTTATAATACTGCACGTTTGTAACGTCGTTTTTTCATTGGATAATCGTGGCGTTTATATAGTTTTATATACACGGCTGCTGTCGATTTATAAAGAAATCTCGCTTTATTCCCCTAAAAATGATGCCTGCTGTATTATAAATTCGTTATAAATAATTCTGACAGGTTTATATGGCCATATATAAACGGTTGTTTGCAATATAACCCTCGCCTAGCGGCTCGGGTCATATTTCCAAACAACCGTTTATATAGGACCATATATCACCTGTCAACAATATTTAAAACGAATAATATAACTGTTAAGGCAAATACCTGCTATTGACATATATAAATTTCCCAAGTGGTTACTTCACCAACATGGTGATCAAGGTACTTTACAACCTCATTCACTTATACACTAACTTTTCTAAGTACCTACATCACCTTCGTAGTGAAGCAGTTACTTAGCACATCTGGCACAAAGATACTAACACTTTATCATAAACAACTTAAACACTATGTCGATATGAAATTCATCAAGTTACACAAACTTGAACTTAGAAAAATAAGAACTGTAAAACTTAACACATTTCAATTGAAGCAAATACTTGCCATTTGACATGTTTAACTGTTAAGACAAATACCTGCTATTTTAAATATAGTTAAATACCTGCTATTTGACATTTATAATACTGCACGTTTGTAACGTCGTTTTTCATTGGATAATCGTGGCGTTTATATAGTTTTATATACACGGCTGCTGTCGATTTATAAAGAAATCTCGCTTTATTCCCCTAAAATGATGCTTGCTGTATTATAAATTCGTTATAAAAATTTCTGACAGGTAATATGGCCATATATAAACGGTTGTTTGCAATATAACCCTCGCCTAGCGGCTCGGGTCATATTTCCAAACAACCGTTTATATAGGACCATATATCACCTGTCAACAATATTTAAAACGAATAATATAACTGTTAAGGCAAATACCTGCTATTGACATATATAACTGTTCAAGCAAATATCTGCTATTTGATATATAATTGTTCAAGCATAAACTAGATAACTGTTCAGGCAAATAAATGCTATGTGACGTAGTTAAATATCCTAGCAAATAACTACAGTTTACCATAGATCTGTTTTAGCAAATACCTGCTTTTTGACACTGATAACTACGGAAGAGTATACTGACCCCCCTTATATATATTTTTATGCCTTCAAGAAAAAAAACCTTTGTATAATACATACCTTTAAAAAAGTGACAAGTTATATGATATCTAAAGTAAATCTTGCACAGTTTTATCTGTTATTATACACCATAAATCACAAATATGCATTGTTTCTTCGATGATATTTGGAAATTTAAGAGAACAGAATGTTCTTCTTAACATACAGTAGTTGTACACTTAAGCCTTTATCATATGAATCTCATGAAAAAGATGTATGAATTTATAAATTAAATTAGATTCTCTTGGTATAATAAGTTGCATCTATTATTATAATATTAAATGGCCATTTTTTCGTTTTGATATAAAAAACATGTATAATCATTGAAAAAGATATAAGAAATATTTATAGTATAAGTTACTCAAAGTTTCAATACCATTTATATAATAATAATATATATCAGTTAAATTATAATATTTTATATAATACTGGCAAGATACTCGTGTACGCAAGCGTGTTATCATAACGATCAACTTATGTTAGGAAACATATAAAACATCATCTAAGCTAAAAACTCAGGTAAAGAATATATATATATTATATATGATTATATCATCTCTATATCTGTCAAACAAATAGTGCCTCAAAAACATACTGATTTGGAACACTTTTGTATTATTATTTCGATTACTTAAATAAATTTTGTCATTTAATCTGACAGCGATCAAAGACTTAAATAGTTCCGCCATTTAAAAAAGGTCATGTTTTACACATTTTTGTCGCATGCATCATCCTAGTGAATACTGGTCAAAGAGAAGCACCATTACGATGCTTTTATTAAATTGGACAAAATACAATACTACTCGGCAGATACTCGGTTGTTTCAGTTGCCAAAGGTTGTGAAACGTCTTTGCTTTTACTCCTTTGAAACATGCTAATTGGTTAAAATCACTAATAGAGGGCGTCCGCTGCCGAGTGTTTAACATCCCAGTGACACAGAGCCGGTAGTGTTTTTCCAAATTGTAGACAGCGCCAATGACAACGTATTCAACACCAATATCACCCATTGATCACCTGTTTTCCACTTATCAACTGCTATATGTTGCAGGCTCGGATAACAGGTAATTGCAAGCCAAAATAGCATGTATTGTATCGTCATCTTAGTGCAGTAATAGGCAAACTGCTATGAATAATGTAAGGAGTAAACTCGTTACTGCACTATGTGACGATATCTTAGTCATTGTCTTGGAGTTAAATTTTCTATAGTTTTGTCAAAAATATATTTATATGTCATTCGTTAACTTGTAGACCCAGCATCATCATCTTAACATTTGAAAGATTTAAGATATTCCATTTCGAGATGTCCACCGTACGCTAGATCATTTTCTTCTATGTAAATGTCAGCATCTTGAATGGATAGACCAATTCCTGGATATAGTGAATTGTCATTTCCACTTTGTGCAGTCACTGTACCGAGCAAATCGTCATCAGCGTCCAATAGATTTTCATCCTTTAACTGATTTAAAAGTTCAGCACATAAAACGTTATGGTGGTAAAATTTCATTGCGTCTATCACATCTTTTAACTGTGCATTTGGGGTGGCCTCTCGCCATCTTTTCAATATTTGATATTTTCTTTCGTTGCCTTCTCCAGAGTTTTCTATTACCACGTCAATTATCTTGAAGAACTCTTTATTTGTATTATCTGCAAATAAGATTGAGAAGTTATGTCAAACATTCGTTGTTAAAAAATCAAACCTAGGACAATAGTTTGCACTGATAAAATACATAGCTTTCGTTAACTCTGTTTAAAATGTTCGTTTATTTTTGTTTGAATTTGCGTTTTCCACTATCATAAAAGCATACCTTTTGAATTATGAAATTATTATCAAAACAAAATATGATGAACCAAACATAATATGTTTCATCAATTTTTCAATTGATATTATGCGTTACATTTTTGACATTAAAAATTTAAACAAAACTCCTTTAGTCTTATTGTTAACATTATGCAAATGAATAAAGTTATATTCAAGTTGCCTACGTGCATTGTGAATCTGTAAAACGTTAATTCAAATATATAGAGGATACTGAATGAGTGTTTATTTAATACTAAAATTATTGAACCAGTTGGATAAAATCTTAATATTGTTTTATTCAACGAGTTAAATGTATTAATTATTGAATCTACACGAATAAATGCTCTATCTATCACAAATATAAAATAAGAACTGATAAAAAGAGTCATTTTACATAGACGTGCCTATAGTGTAACGCTAAAAATTAGCGATTCTCAACGCTATGTTTCTATATAGCGCAACTGACGTCATGTCAAAGTGTTATTATTATAGTGTAAAACCGTTTATATGAAATTGTTAATTTACATATAATAAAACAATCATACAAAGTTAACGGAGCAGGACAAAACAAAACTTACTTGCAAGTCTCCTAGCGAACATTATAAAATCCTTAAAGAGCATCATACGTTGCAGGAAGTCAATGACTTCAAACCAGACTGAAAATCAAACAGAAAAAAGTCAAGCTTCTGAAACATGCTCTTAGATTTTGAGAAAAATAGAAAAATATATCAAGATGTAAGAAATAATAATATTTACAAGTTTTTGTGGTTATTTGTGTGGACTGTAAGTGTCGTTTGCAATGTATAAATTACTTTCTTTGCTCACTTCACAATGTTTTACTTTTAGATACATTTTATGAATATTCATGAAATTAGCACGAATCTGGGGCATGTTGCTTTAAAGCTGTATACATACAAAATAAATAACATAATTAAGATTTCGGACAATGCATGTGGAATAGGACATAGTTTGTTTGGTTGGTTGGTTTCACGACGATTTGATGATGATTGGCCACATCTCGGGTATCTGTCCGATCAACCGAACCTCCTGCCAAACCAACATGTAATAACCTAGTGTCCGAAATTGACTAACTACTTGTCCTATATAAATTACGAATGCATAAGCGGCGAGAGACAAATGACCTTAGGACCTATTGTCTGAAGCCACAAAATATTGGTCATCTATGTTTGATGTGTTTGTGGAATGGAAATGTTGGTTCCTTACAGCAAACTGAATATGCGAGCTGATGACATGATTTTATTGACAAGATCCAAACAGTGTCACTAAGTTGTTGATGCACACAAAGTGTGGAGAACCAAATATACTGAATTACAATTAATTAGAAACGAAAAATTATTTCTTAACTCGACTAAAGTTTTGCGACACATTATATTTTTTGCATTTGATGACATTACATGTTGACTGGCGAGTTTCTTCTGTTCTATTTGTTTCTGTTGCAGCAGTTGCAATATCAGATAAATCAACGGGATCTGAAACGAAATATTCACTGGTGAGGTACATTCATAGGAAATCCAAAATCTTAAATATAAGACTAAAATTTGGACTGAAATACTCGTCATTAGTCAAACAATAAGACAACAGCGACCATTTTTGTTTCTGCACTTGATTTTCATACTTATGACTTGACATAAAAGTTAGAAGTGCTCCGAGGCACTACCAAGAATTATCTCAAGTTTTGTCTTAAAATCACACCGAGGATTTTTTGTCTATTCCAGTTTTTCACCTATAACAATAACCCAGTCCAACGTATTTTTTATGAAATGTATCCAAGAGATTACTGTTGTCTTTAAGTTCAGTAACGGCATCATGTTCTCAGTGTTAAATAATACAAACTTTTCCATCTCTTACAGACGATTATTATTTACTTTAAAAGTCTTGTAAGATAAACGGCCTTTTGTAACCAAACAATGTCAAATCAAATGTAAGTGTCCAGTAAAAATCAGTAAAATTTAAGCAACACCTAATTGTCAACGCCAATTTGTAAAACTTAAATGTTATCTACATGTATTTTCAACTGTCTGAAACATGTTTTCTTTGCATGTTTTACATTTTAAATGTGTTAACCTATGACTTCATGTTCTGATTCAACTGAATTGTTTTTGATTGAAGTTCTTTGAATTTTCATACCTTCTCTTTCCTGTCCCAAAATGTTCACAGGTCCATCACCACATCTTACCTAATAATAAAATTGCATGACATGAAAACTGTAGCATTCCATTTCAATTTTAATATCAGGATGTGTCGCCTACAAGTATTATGAATACATTACATTGCGTTTTTGTTGAATAAATAGGTCAAGCACTGGACTGTAGCTTATTATTAATGGAGCAGCATTGAGAACCAAGAATTGTCTTGGGTTCTTTCAGTTTTTTTATTTATTTCTTTTAAAAAGGCAAGGTGAGTTCTAAATGTACTAAAGATGACTAATTTAACGAAAACTGGGTGTATGTAATTTTAAGCAGACGGGATCGAATATCGTATTGATGTAGATAATAATAAATATAAACATATTGATAACGTAGAACATGTTTGAATATCATAATTAAAAGAAAGTTAGAATTCATTAAATTTGACTTAATTTTTTTTTTATACTAGATGAAAATAATGTCATGTTTAAGTTGTATACTGAGTACACTCCATATATTGTATATACTGAATATATCTCAGTACAAAATATTTATATTATGTTTGTAAAAACATTATTCTTACTACTTATTATATATTTTTTTATATTTTTGTTTGTTTGCTGCGCAGAAAAAAGAAATTATCGCATGTGCCTTCTTATTGTTTTACTAACAGTCCAAGACCTAATATGTACAGGCCAGTAGACCAGAATGATAATAAATATATGATTTTACAACATATTTGATCGATAAACAATGCATTATTGTTGTTTATAAAAGTGTACTATGTACACTCAGGGGCACTTATAACCCGACACTTTTATTTTTCGGTATAAATTGATTATTTGTTGACGGATTTTGTTCAGATTTTGACCAAACAAAATTTAACATAATTATCATACTTACTACCTAGAATTTTATATACAATTCATCGACATTGCCTGTAAAAATCGTAACAAAAAGAACAGTCTCTGAAACTAAATGTCTGTATGTAAATTAACCAGTTTTTATACTTTGTGTGTCCTTCCATGACTATAACAACGTGTAGAGACACCGCTCATAGAAAATACGTAACTTCTTATGAAGGCTTGGGGTATTCTCCATTCCTGAACAAGGGCTTTCTCGAGTTCATGCATATTGCGAGGGGCTGGTCCCTTTCTCATGTAATGATTATACATCGTTACTTTCCTTTGTTGAGTTATCGCTATTGATACTGCAATTTCTTCATCATATGAAAATTTGTTTAAATAGAATATCAGGTAAAAAGGTTTGGTACGAACAGATTTAGTTTTACTTAATATTAGATTTTGAATAATTTAAACATGTTGCCATTCGTCGATAAGTATAAACATTTATTATTATAGATTTTATAGCAGAATTTATTGGACGCTCATTATTTAAAAACTACGCAATGAAAACGTTTTATATGGTTAAAGACGCTGTTTAGGGATTGAGTATAAATAATGGGATAACCTGTTGACCCTTTCGTAATGGATTTGTCTATGTGTGTACATTTATATACCAGCCTTTAATTGCAGAATGAGAGAGTGGAATTTGAGGTTGATTAGATAATTTGTTTAAAGTAAATATTAATATTTTATTTTTGTAACTTTGTTGTTATAACTTGCTACGAGCTTCCTTCCCGTAGGGAGTAGTTAAGCAGTTAGTTAAGTGAAAACCGGGTTGCATAAATATATATGAGCCGCGCCATGACAAAACCAACCTTCACGCAGTCTGATCAGGATCTATGCTCATCACCTTCAAACTCTTTTACAAGTAGAGAAACTGATAGCGAACATCATGGTTCCTGGTGAGACTGCGCGGATGCGCAGGCTGGTTTCGATCCATGCCGGTCGCAAACACACTATGTATGTTTTGGTATGTCGCGGCTCAATTATATTGTTTACTGCTTTTGTGATAAATTCATTGGTGAGATATAGACGAAAGGAACTTAAAATAAGATATAGTCTGACGGATAAATTCCTTAAGTATTTATTTGATAAAAATACTAATTTTTACTCTTTATTTCAAATATAGTTCATATTTTTGTGAAATCATTACAGATCATTATTTACAAATCATAGCAGCAAGGTGGCCCTGAAGAAAATTATATATAAATGTATTAAACCTTTGTAGATAATAAGATATTTGAAGTATCTGATTAGGCATTCGCTCGGTGCACGTTACATTCACAAGCCTGTTCAATAAATCCTAGAATTTGCTGGAGCTCGAGAAAACCCTTGTTTAGGAATGGAGAAACATTCCGCAAGGCTACATAAGAAACTGCATCATCTCCATGAGACAGAGGTGTTAACACGTTGTTACAGTCATTAGAGGACATACAAAGTACACAAACTGGTTAACATACAGATCTAGTGCATTTCAGATACTGTATAACATTTTTAAATACACTTTTGATAATTATAATTATGAAGGACGAACTATATTTGTTTCGCATATGGTATTTTACATCATCACAATTATGCCAAATGTAGCTTACCGTGCCATCAAATCTAGCTTCTTCCGGTTGTTTACTGTTTCCTTCTACTTGTAGTGGCAGAGTGCGAGGTGCAACTGCAGAAGCATCAACTGTTAGATCAGTGTCCTAAAATAGACTGTCTTCATAATTTGTGAAATATGTGCCACATTGGCTCACATGCATTCCTTTATTTTGACATAATTTGTTTGAATTTTTGGAACAATTATCACCTTGATTGTAAGGCAATTCGTCAGGTTCTTCATCATTTATGTTTTCTAAATTTCTCCTTATCTTCTTGGTATACTGATTTGACAAAGAATATGCTGTTTTAAGGTAAATTATCACACCATCTTTGCCTTTACTGTTTTTCATTTTCAAATTATCTACTGGGTCTGGATCGAATGATTTGCTTACATTGAAAGAATCGGTGCCATTTTTAGCTGGATCGTTTTGTCTTTCACCAGATGCTGGATCGGCTTTTTCGCCGTTGGTATAGTGCTTTGTTGTTATGTCTCGAGAACGGCTGAAATCACCTCTAGGTTCAGTATGGTTTGTATCATCATGAGTCGGGCTATAGTCATTGCCAAGTCCCTGCTCAACATTTATTTGCTTTTCAACTTCAATGTTTTTCATGCTGCTTCAAAGTAATCAGGTGCAATTAAATTTTCACGAAATATAGAAAGATGGCTTTTAAAAGAACTAGTTTTAATTTCCTACTTATTAATGATAATAAAAGTGTGTTAAAAATTCAAATTTTAATGATACAGCCAGTCTATGAATAAACAAGTATGTACATGGATATCTAACAAAGAAAACAAATCAAAATTTTCAAAACGAAAGTTTGAAAGTGGGTTGTCCCAAAAGTTTGCATAAAAATTAGTTATGTAACTTTTCGTTTTTTCTCTTTTTTGTTGTTATTGATGTTGTTGTAAACTGTACGAAATTATTCACATAAAGTAAAAATACACATACCGGTATAATTGTATAGATTTAAAATGTTATGCAAATGCTTTTTTTTATTCTATAGAAGTTTTATGCCACATTTTTTTACAAACCCTCGTATATATAAATATGTGAGTATATGCAAAATTATAAAGACAAACTTTGAGTTATATGAGCAGTTATACAAATGAATTACGTTAATTTTAGAAAGAAAGCTTTAAAGATAGATTGATGGAACAGCCTCATACCTTATATAATAATAATGTAGCGCCAAAAAACAAGCTATCATGACTTCAAAACCTAACCATACTGTTGCAAGAATTTCCAAACCTAGAGAAGAAAAAATACATGCATAAATAATAAACAACAAGATATGATCATAAAACATGCAACAGATTATTTTAACAGCTAAAGTAATATACACATATCCCTGAATCCCGGAACAACCATTTTCAAATCAAAACCTAAATTCGAACGCATCCTTTATTCAGCGGCGCTGATGTCATGCATTAAGTTGAACGTTGTTAAAGGAATAGATCTATAAATTCTGGAACATAATAATATATTCACTAAAACCTATAGCTATAAAATCACTATATACGATATTTCATTTCTTAAACAATTTGCAAACTGCATCTATGTCACTTGTTTGAAATAGTGATATCTTATCTACAGCGCAGATTTACCATTTACAGAAGTTTTAGGTGTATTAACCCTTTACCTCATATATACGCGAAACAACGCACTTTAGACCCCCCCCCCTCTTTTAGGCCTCAAATAGTGAAAAATGTCCTATTTCGGTCCCAAACACATATTTTCGTTTGGGAATTGTTGCTAAAAAAGTGAGCATTTTTTTGGCGCCGCCCCTCATCGAAATGATACATCAGGGGGTTACCAGAAAGAGGATGTGCCCCCTTCTGTTTGGGGGTTTGAAGGGGGCCTGTAGTACCCCTCATCGCCAAGAAAATTTCGGACTTGTGAGAGGCTAAAAATGACCCCCAGGTCGATCATAAGGTAACATGTAACCTTAAAAGCCTTTGATTCTATCTCAATCCCTTGAGAAGTTGCAGCACTTTGAAATAAATTTTGATAGTCAAGACAGTGATTTTGACAATTTTGAGACGTCCCCTCGTTGCCATAATTACAGGAAATTTAAGACTGAGCATGTTGTTACAAAGGCAATGGTCCAGTCAACATTTGTGCAAAGTTTGATTTGTATTGAAACAGTTTTTATACTTTATAGCAATTTGAAATTTTAACGGGAGACTTTTCAATAAAAACAGCCATTTTCAAAAAATGCTCATGCAGTAATGAGTTCATCCGAGGAAAAAGTTGAAACAAAACTCATGCATTTATTTTTTATATCCTATTCGCTACATTGAAAATACCGTATATCAGGATTTTTAACGCCAGTTTCTTATTTCGCAATATTTGCGTGCAATGAAAATAGCGCAAAAATAGATCCGCTTTATTTGCTTTCATAAGGGGATTTCGTAAATATCTGACAAAAAGAAGATTCTCTCTTTGTTAGTAAAAATATGTTATTTTGGTACAACAAATCTCGAAAATAAAGTACATGTAGCTAAAATTATATTACTGCCAAAGTCTCGAAATTTACCATATGCACAAATAGCCTCATATACGATATCTAACAACGTGATCTTTGTCTTTAAATCTAAATGATATGTTTTGCATGAAAAGGGAATTCTTTACCCAACTGATATAAATATAAAAAAAAATTGCAAACTAAGCAAAAGATTTTAGAGAAATATAATTAGGGATCAAATAAAGGTGACAAATAGGCGATATGTTGTTGCCATTAAATAACATTGACATACTTTTTCTCTAAAGCAAAAATTCGAAAGCAAAAGAACAAAACTGAAAAATATATATAAATAATCTATGGGGAAAAAAGTAATTTATTGCAAGGAAACTCAAACCTAGACTGTTGGAAGACTTACTGGTCTGTTTTTGTGGTTTGGGCTGCTGTTCTCCACAAACAGTATCATTAAAAGCTGTGCACTGTGTCTCTATAAAGGTGTTGCAAGACGAGAACGGAATGCAGGAGTCAAAGGACGAACTGTTGGAGTATGTCAAGCCATTTTCACATGGCAAACACTTAGTATCGGCGGATGGTGTACCTTTGAAAAAGAACAAATGAAACCTTATTACCGATAAAAAAACATCATTACATGTGAATAAATAATAATAAAAACTAGAACTCCGCGAGTCGGATGTACACTGAGTATCGGCGGATGATTTACCTTTAAAACCGTAAAAATAAAAACCTAATTACTGATTAAAATTACGTGTGAATAAATAACAATCAAAAGTTTTCAAATGATAAAATTTGACAAAAAAAAAAGATAATCCGTTTGACAATCACATAAAAAAAACATCACAGGATCAGTGATTACTGGTTGAGACAAGTGTAAATAAAATATAGTTACTTAATAGAGAATCAAGCTTAACATCATTATTCAATAAAATTTGTCATAAAAAATGAATTTTACATGACAAGCTATTTTCAAGTCTACTTATTCACACAGACTATACTAACAATAAATATGTATTTATTTATTAAGCGGTAACTTATGCGCCTTGTGTAGAAGTTGTCGAAATACTGATTCTCAAAAGCCTGTTCAATGTTCAGATTTCTGCAACGGTTACAGTAAAATCTATGGAGAAAATAATTCCATGACAACTTTTAAGTAAATGGCTTCTAAAAAGCAAAATTTGTTATTGTCAAATACCCTTTTCTACAACTCCATGGCCTTCTTTGCACTTTTGATATGGCTTGCATTGTCCGTGATTTGGACCAATCACAATAGGTTTCCAGAAGTATCCGATTTTACACTGGCACTCTATATCACTAACGGCCTTGCAATTCTTTACTTTGACCTGATTTTTATCAGGACAATCCAACCGACAGGTTTTACACCTCGTAGCAGTGCTACAACTTGGCATGTACGTCCCATTCATACAACGCCTACATTCAGACTGTGTGCCGTCTATAATACAGTCAGACACTTTATGATATCCCGCATCTCATTGGAGACACTGGTGGCCATTCTTGGCAAGGTATGTCTCGTAGCATGGTTGTGTTATCCCAAGTACTTTAACACTGATCAGTGATAATAGTACGAATGCTTGCACAATCATATTGTTGCACTCACAATAACTATATAATATAAAACAAAAACCCATAAGTGACATGAAGGAAGAAAGTTATATGTCATACAATGGCTATTTGCAGTATATTATTTGGTTTAATTTGTGTGCTCATCGTTGAACTATGAGTTGGCCTGACGTTATTTATCAGAAAATAAGATCCTTAAATCCATGTGAAATCATTTTAATTGGAATCGTTCGGGAAAGGAGAGATCCCTTCAGAGCAATAAAATCAAACAACAGATATGTAAAAAAAAACAAAACTATGTTTATTTAGTCTGTCTCTTACGTCCCTTAATACAGGTTTAAGCTTGTGGCATTTTTATGCTAAATAGTAAATGCAAGGGATAAAAAATCCTAAATGAACAGAAACAAATGAAATAACCCTTCGGAAGACATCGATGATTTATAAAGGGACTCCACTGAGGTTTTTAAACACGATGGGACTGAGAAAACTTTTTCAAGATTAATGTACCATTTGATGAAGATTTAGACCACTAATCTTTGTGCAAAATTTCAGATCATTCGCACACTTCGTTCTTTGTTCTTCCAGGATGATCTTTTAAATTGTAAAAAAATGACCCAAATGAAAAGGAATAAAACGCTTTTCACTCAAACCGGGCTAAGAAACGGATGGAAAATACGATTTCCATTTTCTTTTAAAGTATATTTCTTTAATATCTTTGCATATATTCTTTTAAAGTGCCCCAGCTCATTTATGTAAGACATCCAAACGTTATGTTTTAAGACTTTTAAACATCAGTGTAGTCCCTTTAATGAAACGAAAAGAACACCAAAAGTACAAATTCAGATTATGTAGAAATATAACTCAATCCGAGTCTGCATTTGTCATAATTGCTCTACGGTAATCTCCCTTTTACTAAACAATCATCCTTAACTTGGTAAATTTGTTTTAAATTTGAGAAAATTTATAACGAAATACATAAGTCACTATCAGGTAAAACAATTGAGGAACAAACAGTTTAGAGCCTGGCCAGACTGTGCGGATGTGCAGGCTTTCCTGACTCTATGTAGGCTTAATATAATTGCAAAACAGAAATGTTTTTAAGTTCTTTATTCAAAACGACACATAAACATAGTATACAATTAATATTAAAACAAAATATTTCCGATATACCTGCTTTTAACAATTACATAATAACAATTCAAGTATACTCCATTTTAATCCGAACAATTATTTATACAAGAATAAGAACATATTTATAGATCATATGTCTTGGTTTCCCAACAAAAAATCTATAAATAGCTCTGAAGCACTTGACCAATATTAAACAAAACGGTATTCAAAATAGATAAAGCAACTTTTCCTAAACCTCGAACATGCTTTAAACATTGTTGTTATTTTCATATTTCATTCGCTTTATGATGGTAGGCATTTTGAAAAAAAAGTTCAATGCATTTTGTGTTTATAAATACCATAAATATGCGTTTGTCATTAGATGACGTCATTAACCTAAATCAGAACATTTCGGCTATTTTTTAAGCATTCGGAACTGCCTCGGCTATTATCTATAATAACCTCGTAAACAATACAGATTGAAAGTAGTTCTACCACGTAGTTTCAGATGTAAACAGAAACAGAGATAATGTAAAACGAATGTATATTTTTGACATCTAATGTCTGTTCCGGTACTCTTATGCTTGAAAATATGTGTGACAACAATTTGTAATTCAAATATGCCCACTGATGTTCAATTTTAAACAAATCCGACCAAATGTCAACAGATTGGTTTTTTGTACTTCCGGTTTCTACAGCCTTAATAATAAAATATGTAAATAATGTATTGTTTGCTTTTGTTCCTATGAATTCACTTATTTTACGTGGACTTTTACTACATTTATTGGAAATAAACTTATCAACAACTCCCAGCATTAAATTACTATTTGTTAACATGTCTAGTTTCCCGCATCCGTTTAGTTTCTTAGCGTAGGTTAGACCGAAATACCGCATCCGTTCTGTATATTTATACTATTGTGTTCGAGGTCTGTATCCAAAGACTGACGGAAAGGGCCAAGTAGTTGCGATTGTTTTCAAGTTCTTATCCGACGTTTGACGGAAAGGGCCGAGAAGTTCGATTGCAGATGTTTGGTATTTGTGGCATATTTCTGTATCTTTCACTTCAGATGTAAATATGTAAATAATATTTTTTAAACTACTTAAATAATTTTTTATACAAAATCCGAATTACAATGAAGGTGAAACAAATACGGTGTCATTCAGATCAAAATGCACTAGGTCTGAACTTTGGTCATATTATGCTGGCCCTTGCTATTTATATATTTGCATGATCTCTAATGGTATGACAAATTTTAAAGGTTTTTATTACCGTAAAGACTTATCAATTTATTTTATTCGAAAGACCGCTAATGACATATCAACTTCTTGAATTTTCGAATTCACGATTTCAACATACAGAATATAAAAAATCATGATTTCAACTTCATGAATTCAAAATTTCAACTTCATGAATTCACGATTTCAGCTTCACGAATTCACGATTTTAAATACACGATTGTACGAGTTCAACATAACGATTTAAACGTCGTGAATTCAACTTCATTAAATAATGTGTAGAACTTCATAATTTTAACTTCGTGAATTCACGATTTCGAGTCGTTAAGTTGAAATCGTAAAGTTCAACAAATGATTTTATGAAGTTGAATTCATGAATTTGAAATCGTGAATTCATGAAGTTAAGATAGTGAAATTGGAACCTTGAGATAGCGGAGTTGAATTAATCAAGTTGATTTTGTGAATATATAAGGTTGAAATCATGAATTCGTTAAGATGAAGTCGTGAGTTCATGAAGTTAAAGTCGTGATTTCGTGATCTATATATGTTGAAAATGTGAATTCACTAAGTCAAAAATTAGAATTCAGGAATTATATAATGAGGTTGAAATGTCCAAACCGGTCTTTCGTAATTTAAACCAACCTTTCAATTTAATTTGATATTTCAGAGAGTAATTTTAATAAAACTTTATCAAAATTTTATTTTACGGACATGTAACCTGGTGGTAATGCTATGCAGCGTTGGTGATGAAAATAGCAATTCGGTGCTAAGAGGTGTTGGACTTACAAAAACCAAAATGCCTTTTGTGCAAGCTACAGTGCTTGTGGAACGATGGTTAGGAAACCACCCGCCTATATGACTGAAAAACTGTTGGGAAAATGCGTAAAATTAAACAAACAAGGAAACAGTGGTTTTAACTAATAGAGAAAGTATTACGCATGGGGCGTAGTTGCAACGAAATTCAATATTAACTTGTATTGCGCAAGTATTGCGCAATATACACTCAAGAATATGTAGAAGTATTTTGTATAAGTTTTCCCTTACCTTGTTTGTTTGACATTTCCACATATTTTTCACATATCCCCAAACAAATAAATGTCTATATCTGGATCTCGTATCATTTAATTACTCACAAACTTTAATTCCTGTCAATAATTATTATTCATTTATTAATCATAAATACATGTATATGCTATCTATGGAATCCCAACTTTTAAAAATGCTATGGGAACGCATAAAAACAAAGTAAACTTATGTTCCATTTATAAATGAACAAAGTTTAGACACGTGAGTTACATCCATTTTGAACCATGCCATCGAAAAAACTAACATCAGCATGTTTTAGTTTCTACGTTTTCTTTTTAACAATTCAATTCAATTCAATATTTTATTTGCAATAATCAGCATACAAAATGCCTCTGGCAAAGGTTAACAAACTACAATATATATACAAATCACACATGCATCAAATTACATATAATTGTTATACAATTGTTACATCATTGCGAAGCTGATTTGGAGAAACAGTAAAGTATATGACATGCATTAACTTACATATTAATTTCATTTCTTTTCAAAAATGCTTCATTTAAAAATTTCGATACATTTAGTAAAGTTGACTGTTTTCTACTTGACATTAAACTATAAAATTTAGGTAAAGATGGCCATGCTGTGTTTGGAAAATATTTTTTGCGAATTTCAGAATAATGAGTACAGATTAAAAGAAAGTGGTATTCACTTTCAACAACATGCATTGTACAATTTTCACACAATCTATTCTGTCTATCTATACCTCGATAACGGCCGGTTTCTATAGCTAGATTATGACTGCTTAACCTAAAGGATGCAAACAGTTTCACTAATTTGTCACTTTTTATTTTGTTAAGATATTCCTCTGATTCAAATACAGTTTTAAATTGAACATAATAAGATAATTTCGGCAAATTATTGATTGTCGTATGCCAATGTTGGATAAATTGATCTCTCAATCTTCGTGACAAAGTAGGAAAATAGTTTACATCTTTATTAAAATTATCCCATATATCATTTAAACCAAGATTATACAATAGTTTTTTTACAGAGAGAGCCCAATTTTGATCATTATTACTATTACACTCAGTAGAAAATAACTTACACATAAGTGACACTGGATTTGATTTTAATTTAGTGTAATATTTTAGAGATTTTTCTTGGCAAATAACTGATAAGGGGAATCTACCTAATTCACCTAAAACAGCGTAATTTGGAGTCTGCGATTTCACACCTTATATGGTTTTGCAAAATTTTATGTGAATCTTATCAACCTCTTTAGGACAATATATTCCCCAAACTTCCTCAGAATAAAGCAAAATTGGTGCAACTAGGGAATCAAACAATTTAAGTTTCGTTATAATATCGACATGTATTCTTGTAAAAAGACTTAACAAATTATACATTGCCTTTAAAGCCTGGTCAGAAAGAATTTTTGCTGTTTTAGCAATGTTACCATTTGAAACAAAAGTCACTCCTAGATAACAGAAACTGTCTACAATATCAATAACATTATCATCAATGTTTGTTTGTTTGTTTGTTTCATTTTACGCCTTTTTCCAAAAGTATTTCAGTCATATAGGCGGGTAGTTTCCTAACTATCGTTCCTGGAGAGTTGCACCAGTACTAGACTACCTTCCTCCGCGCTAAACTACCAAAGCATCTCCCGGGGTTCGAACCCACGCCAGAGAGGTAACTGGATTAGAAGTCATCGACTCTAACCCCTCGACCACGGAGGCGGCTTTATCATCAATGTAAAATTGTCTTTACTCTCGAGATTTACGTTTTTCAAAAATACAAATTTTGGTCTTCTTTATATTTATCTTAAGACCCCATTGTTTGGAATATTCATATACATACTGTAACCCAACGAATATTCGCGACCAATTAATATTCGCTTTATTCGCGGATGGCCTCAAAGCGCGAATATTTGTTTGCGCGAATAAGTCCGCACGATTTCGCGAAAAAATTGGAGAGAAATTTTTTTTTTAGACGTTGTTCATGCAAGGCTACTTGACCGTATGTTTTCAAATTTTACGGGCACCTGTTAGGAAGCAATGAATTGTTATGAATATTGCCATAAAGCAATAAAAACACAAACTAAGTAAACTACTACTATTTTATAAATATCAAAAGAACTCCATGTCAATATAGTAATCAAAATAAACATCCACATTTAAATACAGTTTAAAATATAAAATGTTTGAATAAATCGTTTGACAAAAGTGGGGAAACTATCGAGCATTACAAAAGGCTATTGTTTTTGGATCCTATAAAATAATTGTTTGAGTAAATTGTTGAGACAAAGGTGGTATAAACCTATCGAGCATCACAAAAAGGTATTGGGTGTACATAATTACAAACAGTGAAATACAAGATGGTTTCATACTAGTATCGCTTTTTACCTGTCAAACTTAACAGCCTGTTTAGCTCAGTTGGTTAGATTGCGGACTCATATAACATAATTTTCTTGGCGTGAGTTTGATCCTCAGATTGGAGAAGGTATTTTTTTATGAAACGCTTAAATTGAATTTCCAATCCGCGAATTTTTTTTTCGGAAATCAAGGAAACGCGGAAATTAATATTCGCGAATATGTCCGACCTCGGCAAAACGCGAAAATTTGTATTCGCGAATATAAATTGGGTTACAGTAGTTAAGGTGATTCTGTAAAGTATTAGGATCATATCATATCATCTGCAAAAAGCAACATAAATACACATAATTGGTTAAGATCATAGTCTGATAAACTATTAAGGTTAATGTTTTTGCATACATCATTTATGAAGAGTATAAACATTATCGGTGAAAGTGGCTCTCCTTGTTTCAATCCAATTGATATATCGAAAAGGTCTGAAAATTTACAAGCATTTTTAACACATGACGAAACTTTTTCATATATTGCTTTTATCATATTCACCATTTTACTGCTAATTCCCTCTTTTAACAATTTAACAAATAATGCTTCTCTATTAACTGTATCGAAGGCTTTTTCGTAGTCTATAAAAGCGCAATACAATTTCTTTTTATCATGTAACACTTTTTAGATAATTCAATGTAATAAAAATATACAATCGGTTGTGCTTTTTTTATCTCTGAAACCAAACTGATTTTCACAAAATATATCTTCTGTCTCGCACCATTCGTTTATTCTGTTTCTTAAAACAAGGGAAAAAGTTTAGCCATGCTATTCACAAGAGTAATACCCCTGTAATTACTAGGATCTGATTTATCACCCTTTTTGTAAATTTGGACATTCTTGATTAAACCATCGATTTTTGCCCTTTTTGCTATTAGTAAGACCATTTTTTGTTATTGTTTTACCAAAAATCATAGATGAACATTTATATATCACATCCGAAAATGCTTGCATACCTTCACTGATATTAATATTTTTGTAATGCAATCTTGTCAAAATCATTTCTATTATTCTCTAAACAAGTCAAAAGGTCACAAACATGATCGTTATTTCACACTAATTTATCTTCTTTAATTATTGTATTATTAGCTGAACTTGACAAATCACAATTTAAAGAAAATTCAACAGCACAATGATCTGAAAATTCGTTTACACCTAACACCTCCAATGTATTCAAATTACAGTAACCTAAAATATTTACAATAAGATAATCTACAACGCTAGCACCCTTTTTGCGACGGACGCGCCCTCAGGCGCGTTCAGAGCTAAGTCATTTACACATGGGATTTCGTTGGCTACACTCGCGCAATGTGTCCTAAACCAATTAACAGACTAAGAAATAGTACATGAATTTGATCCTTCAAAACTCCCATACTTTGTCTGGATATCTTAATGTCTTCCATATTTAGCCTTTTCAATTTCAAATTAAGTTATCCAAGTTAAAATGTGAACGTATATTATTGATAAAAACGTTGTAGTCCCGTAGTATTATTGCGCAATATGCAAATTACTGCTGAAACGATTTACCGCTGTCGAAAAAGTAGGACAGCAAATTATACTACAATAAAGGTGTAACCTCTGAGTTCCAAGACATTATTAGTAGGAAATAAATATTTCTACATTATACAAAACATTATTATTAACAAATCAAAAGTTTTTCGTGACTCTAGGATAACTCGCGCATTAATAAAAGAAGAACTATTTTCGTGACTCATACCGCGGGTTTAGCTGAATATTCAGCAGTTATTAATATATTAGATACAATAGAATGGCTAGTATAAATATCTATTTTTGAAAATGCATGTAAGACACTTTACCGGCATGTAGTCTTTCATGGTAAGGAAGTTATAATATCAGTTCTACTTCCGATTCTTGTGGTTTGTTTACATATTTTACTAGGTCATGATTTGAGTTAACCTTCGCTATTCTAAAAATAGATTCTGCTCCACCTGTTCTGATTTTTGGACAGGCGATTAGGAAGTACACATTAAACATGTAATTAATAAACCAGCGGATTGTAATGCAATACTTTTAGAAATGCTATACAATTGTAAGAAGCAAACAAGTTGAAAATGGAATTTAGTGTGAAGTTGAAAAGGACAACTAAACACTGTAGTGCTTAAGTGACATTTAAATTAAAATAAAAACGATGTGCTCTGGCCTCTACATCTTTACCTTGTAAATAAAAAAATCTAAGAAATACACTATTAATTGCTGATGATTTCAACCATTTTTTTTTTAATGAGACATATCCAAGAGAAATAAAAATACAAATGACTTATATTTTATTGTCTGTATGCCCACTATGATATAACACGAAGCAATTCTAAATAGCATTCTCAAATGTATAATGTATTATGTTTGAAGTTTATTTGCCTGGATTTATTCTAGAAATATTTCGTTGATAGTTTTTTTTTCTATTTACATATCATTTCTTAGAATAAATCGATAAGGACATTGATTTATAAGTTTGACCAGAGTTTTTAGGCATAAATTTCATTCTGTATTTAAGTGCTTGAAAGTAGAAAATCTGAATTATATCAATTTGGGACACAAAATATATTGCTCTACAAATCTCGAACTTGTATGGAACAAATTTTCTCTGTTATATATTTTGTGTTTTGTTTTGTTTTTGTTTTTTTTTTCCTAAAAGAAGCCTTAATGTCTCTCCGGTTGCATGTCCGTCGCATTCAGTGCTGCAGCACTTTGATTATTTCTAGAGCAGCAGTGATATGTAAAATCACCATTTTCTAATCGGCCATTTACAATGCGTAAATCATGCTGCTTACATAAAGAGAGTAATTTTAGACCAAACGGGTTACATATTTTATCAGACGAGTGTCTTACAGGTAACATAACAGAAGAAGAAGAAGAAGAATGATTTTATTTTCAACTTGTACACAACATATGGTACATCGTTGTACAATATACATTTACAAAATACATGGCATATGGTCACTATGATTGACAATGTTAACATTCTGTATCAGCAATCAATAATGTTTAAGTAAAGTTTATATCTATGAAAAATTAAATAAGTATGTGTATGTTCTTAAGACATTACCTTAGAAAATATGTACTTAAGTATTCATCTTAGAAAAAGAAAAGTCAAGTTTGAAAATTAACTTAAGTAAAGTGAACAAATACTTTCTATCAATTGAACAATCATACAAGTTAGAATAAAATTAACACCTGTTCTAGAAGTATTTTTTTAAACTGATTACATCAAATATTATTTTTGGCAGTAAAGAAAAACAATTTATAAAAAGTACTATTGGAGAACGAACGGAATATCATATAGTCCTTGATAATATGGACATGTCCTCAGCATGTGTTTCAATCAATAGTTATACATGATTAAGTAAAGTAGACATTATGCATGAGTATGCCATAAAAATATTACTTTTGGTGTTTATTGAGAAAAAGGCAACAATCTATAGGAAAGTACTATTGTAGCATCGACCACAGATATATGTTTAATACGTTGATGTCGGTTCAGGCCGTGACAAAAAACACAACGATTTATACTTGATATTGCTTATCACTTTAGAAACGTATATATTCAAACTTTAAAATAAAACTGCATTATTACTGTATTGTATAAAGCAGCTCTGTGCGAATACGACTCGCTTGGTAAATATATTTCGCCAGGTTTCTGGTGATAACTTTATTTTTAGCAGATACTAATTGTACGAATTTGTGCATATTTGGGCGCCTGTAAAAATATTGTTTAATGTATTTATGACGCAAGGTTTCATAGGCTTTGCAAATTATAGTGAAGTGGTATTCATCCTCAATTTCTTGAGAATCACAAAGCTGACAAACTCGCTCGGACCGTTCTATGCGATTTCGACCGTGCCTACCAGTTTCAATGCGCAGCCTATGTGCCGATACGCGTATTCTTGTCAAAGACTGACGTAAATACTTAGAGTTTATTACATTCAGATAGTCACTCGTGACGAACTCATCTTTAAGGTATACATATAAAGTGTTCAGAACATTATTTGCTTGCAAATCAGCTCGCCAGCTCTGTACGTAACAGTCAAATAGCCGTTGTCTAAATAAAGGTAAGAAGAGTTTCGCATCTACGTTATCTTGATTTTCCCAAACGTCAGAAAACCCATACTGATCGAGTAATATCTTAACTCTACCGGCCCAACTTACTGTATTACTATTTAGGCATCTTTTCAACGATTCGTCATATACACGTTTAATTATAATGTTATCCGTCGTTAGAATTTGTAACCAATACTTAATAATCTGATAATATCTTGTAATATGCAGCGGATACCGCGCTAGTTCCCCATATACGGCTGCGTTACTAGTACTTTGTTTGACTCCCAAGATTGACTTGCAAAACCTCAAGTGCACGCGTTCTATTTCCTTTGTTTTCGAGAAACCCCAAATCGGACAGGCATAGTTTAAGATCGCACCGACAAATGCATCAAAAACTTTCATAGATAACGATGGGTTTAATTCATATTTGTTGATATTGTTTAAAAGTATGTTTGAAGCTTTAATCGCCTTTCCAATAACGTACTGATTATGCAAAACGAATGAACCGGTATAATTAAACACGACCCCCAAGTAATAAAAATCATTTACTACTTCAAGAGGTTGGTTGTTATAATACCAGCGCTCTTCTTGCTTAACAGGACCCCTTTTACGGAACACTACGACTTTGGTTTTTTCTATATTAACTTGAAGTCCCCAGTAATTGCAATAATCATATAATTTGTTTAAACTAGTCTGTAAGTCCTGAACAGAATTACCAATTAAAACCATATCGTCTGCAAACATTAGTAATATTACACAAATATCATACATTGTTAAACCAGACGTGTTCGAATCTTGCAAAAATAGTTCCAAATCCTCTAGAAATAACGCGAACAAGGCAGGAGAATTATTAAGACCTTGTCTTAGACCGATTGATATTTCGAAGAAGTCTGAGTACTTATTACAACTTTTAACGCATGATTTTACTACAGCATACATTGCCCTAAACGTTTGTAGAATTTTACCATCGATGCCCATATTGAAAAGTTTGAACCACAGTGCATTGCGGTAGACGGAGTCGAAGGCTTTCTGCAGATCAATGAATGCGCAGTGCAGTCTCAACTTTTGTGATAAAATGTGTTCTATTAAGTTATGTAATACAAAGGCCGCATCAACTGTACTCCTACCCTTTCTAAAACCAAACTGAGCGTCTGAAATAAAATTGTTTTTTTCGAACCATTTTTCAATTCTACCTGTCAGTATACTTGTATATAATTTTCCCAGATTGCTTAATAAAGTGATCCCACGATAATTATTTGGCAAATTTTTATCCCCCTTTTTAAAGATAGGCACTATAAATCCTTGAGACCAGGATTCTGGGAATTGTCCAGAATTGAACACTTTGTTGAATAAATCAGTAATATGGCTACCAAGTATATCAATTGTTTCTATTAAATATTCGTTAATTAAGTGATCACTAGGACACGATGATTTGTTGCGCTTAAGACTTTTTACTGCTGTGATAACCTCTTGTAGCGATATAGGGCCATTAAGTTCACTGAATGTTGAATCATTCACATTAAAATCAGAAGTTTCGTTGAAAGTTTCAACATTATCAATGGAAGTTGTCCTAATATCACTAAATAATTCAGAGAAATATGTCTTAAACTCATCCGGCGATATATTACCATTTGAATTATTATATTTTGCCTTAAAATGTTTCCAGAAGTCACGAGGCTTTTTATTTTTTAGATCAGTCAATTCCCTTGATTTCTTTATTTTATGTGCACGTTTCTTTTTGCGTGAAATATATTTGAAACGCTTCCTTGCGTCGCACAACTGCGCTCTATTATAATCAGACTTGCAGTTATTAAATAAAATTAGTGTGTTTTTATATTCACTTTTAAGCATTAAACATTCATCATCGAACCACGGAGAACTATTATCACGCGGCGTGTTCCTATTATTTGAATTACCCGTATATTCTTTTTTAAATAATGAATCCGCCGCGTCTAAAATAGCTCGCGAGAACTGCGTTACTGCTGAATCTACGTCAAGAGTGTCATCAAAAACAGTATTATTAAAAATATTTAAATTTCCAATAATATTGCTTCTAAATGATGCCTCTTTATCAGCTTCCCATTTATAGTAAATATGTGATTCGGAAGAATGTACATCTGTATCTGTACGACACGGCTCAATTCCAGTTATATTAAACGACAACGCTGCGTGGTCGCTAAATGTGTTGAAAGGTAATATTTCAAAAGAATTAAGTGCGTGAAACTCTTTCAACAAAAGATAGTCGATTGTACTGCTTGAATTACGGTTAAAAAATGTAAAGGAGTCCGTGTTTATATAACGCCCGTTAGCAATTCGCAAACCTGTTGCTTTACACAGATCTAACATTTTTAATCCCCGGCTATTGCATACGATATCGCATGAGGTTCTGGGAAGGGTTTCATCGGGTATATAATTCAAATCGTCCGTAAAATTTATATTTGAATCACAAAGTATATAATCTGGCCTATTCCCTACTCTACAATTCCAGTCCCCCGCCAATAAAATACATCCGATTTGATCAAAGTAATAGATGTCTTGCATTAATAGTTCGAACAGATCCGCATCAATAACATTAGCAGCCGGCGACTCATCGGACCATAAATATAGACCACATAAGTAAATATCTCTATCAAAATTGAAAAACATTGCATTTAGCTTTAACCAAATAATAGTATCAAAGTGATTTTTTACTACGGACACTCCCTCATAACAAGTATTTCTAACATATATGGTAATTCCTCCACTATTACGCTTAGCTTTCTAATGCTTAAATTTCCTGAAATAGTTATATGTAGTAAAATTTTCAATATCAACAACAGAATTATTATCGGACCATGATTCACTAATAATAATAATATATTATTTCGTCAAAAAAGAAACAAATTCTGGGTCTGATAGTTTGCTGTCTGTTAAACCGTTACAGTTCCAGGCAAGAACACTTAGCCTATTCTCCGTCCGTTCCTATTGACACTTAACTGGCTGTCCATCGATATAAAGGGTATCATATACCATCAATGCCTTTTTGTTGGCCTTAATTGCCTCCTGTAGTTTTGGTACTAACCTCCTTCTTCGGGCTGCTATTTCCGGCGGGAATTGTTCATAAAGGTAATAATCCGATCCTCTCAACAAACGCTTTTGCCGACGAACAATCTCCCTGTCTGAGAAAAACGCAAATTTTATAACCACGTTGCGGTCCCGACGAGAGCCGGGCGCTCCCATACGATGTATGCGCTCAAGTTTCATGGACTCCACTATTGACTGGGCCATTTTGTGTTTGTTCACTAAGAAATCACGAAATTTTAAATCCAAATTTTCACCAGGCTCCTCCTTGAGTCCACCTAGCACTAGATTGTTCCGCATGCTTTGAGATTCTAAGTATGTAACTTTATCTTTGAGGTTTGTGTTTTCTTTTTCGAGAACGTCAATGCGTGATTGGTACTCCGCAGAGATAAATTCAACTCGCTCAATGCGCTCGTCGATCTTGCTCAATGTATGATCCAATGCTTTATTTTGATCGTGTACACGGACGCTCAAAAGTTTCATGTCGTCTTTATCAAAAGAGAGCACCTTTTCCTCTAGCGAATCCAATTTATTAATAACATCATGCATTTCTGGCATGTCCACAAATCTCTGTAAATTTATATTTTCAACAAAGTCGGGGGTTACCCCTGTTCGACTGTTCAGGTCCCCACACCAATACGTATCACCTTGAGTTTCATACCGACTAAAATCGGCACTTATTTGGCTAAATAGATCACATTCAAAAAGTATCGAATTTTCATTTTTATAAACAGATGATTCTTCCGGAGGAATATATGCTAAACAGAAAACGCATCACGGACTAGATTACATAATTCACTCTTGATCTTAAACCACAATATACCTCTATTATCGGATTTAACAAGGTCAATCTTTCCGCTTAAATGGCTTCTGTAATAAACAATTAAACCTCCACTAAAACGTTTAGCCCTTTTGTTAGTTTTAGGCCTAGCACAATAAAAATTCAGGTATCCATCAATGCATACATTCGATCTGGAAGAAGTCCATGTTTCAGTCAAAAGAATAATGTCATATCTGTTTATAAAGGTTAAAATATCATTGTCATGTAATTTATTTTGGAGACCTTGGACATTCCACAAGACAAATGTTAACTGTTCCTCCGTTATATCCTACTCATGCATATCATCAGGTGAAATACTGGTTGATCGTTGACCTCGTATCATAAGCCGGTCAAATGAAATAATTGCATCCTTGCCTTCTTCACATGTAAATGAATAGACTTTACGTTGATCAATTTAAATTAGGGACGTGCAATCATGCGGAACAAATTATTTGTAGCATCGATTTACTTCGTTAAACTTTAAATTTTATAATATAGTACACCGGGAGTTAATAATTGTAACAATATCTGTCGAACTAAATAAAGGGTGGTTGGATTCGTTTCATTGGACGATTTTTTAAAAATAAATATGCTTTGTATTTCTTGCCTTTTTATCTTTTATAGAAATAAAAGCGCTTAACTAGTTTATAAATACAAACATATATATTGCGCATGTTAAATTACACGTCCAGCCAGTGTCTTGGTGGGTAATAAATTAACATCTTAAGAGTATACACAAATTGTAAAAAAAAATCTGGATTTAAAGTGATCCCTCGGAAGCATTTATCACAATAAAATTACTTGAAAATTGCATATTCGGTTTGATTGAGTCTGTACATGAGGGATAATGAATAAGAGCAACATTCCTCACGCCCCCTAGCACCAGCTTGAGCAGTACTCAAAATCTCAACACTTAATAGTGCTGGCATCAATGATCCCGAAGGAGCAGAAAAATATAACAACACTGAAGTGAGGTAAGGGGCAACTTTGACAGCTGCTTGAAACCTGCTGTTGTGAAGAACAAAAATCTGGAAACAAAGTGATCCCTCGGAAGCATTAATCACAACAAAATTACTAGAAAATTCGTCGATTGGAAACTGTAATGTTCTATCTCCAAATTTTCCAAAAACAAGTTAAATACACAATTGTGTCCGTAATGGACTGTTCTAATCTCTTTGGCATGTTTTATTAGTCCTTCAGAGCGTCATAAATAATTACTTCAGAGCGTCATAAATAATTACAACGGAACCATCCTGTTCTATCTCCACAAATTTAGTATGTCTTGATAAATAGACCGTTCTAACCTACTGGACTAATCATATCATCGATAAATGTTACGTGACTTGTTGGATATATGCAACATACTGTTCTAAATCCAAAATTATCGTATCAAAACATAGCATAAAATCACGTGATAGCAGGACATCCGCCATGTTGAACGAAACATTTTGAGTTAATTAATACTTAATATAAGTATTGAATGATATTATATATTCATTTATTCCCACCAATCATTGACATTTTATTATTAAGTCCTGTAAATTTACTGCATGTGATTAAACAAGAAGCAAAACTGATCATGATTTGAAAGTAATTTCGGATGTGTATTTTCGGATAGAAACAACTGTGATCATACAATTTTATCAAACAAATTCGTAAAAAATAAATTTGTTACATGTTCTAAAGTTTTTTTAACGTAAGGCACATTATGTCTCAGAAACAATTATTTATCTTTATAACAGACACATATGAGTTTAGAAGTTGACAATACTCATTGCCGATATGAAATAAAAGCATAAGATGGTTTAGGTTACTGACCAATGTGGTATATTTTGGAAACTATAACAGAACTCTAAATATCGGGCTTTTGAGAGATTAGGATAAAAGCATTTCTGAGGCAAAAAAGCCTTTAAGAAAATTTATAGATATTATACGTTTACATATAATATATGTTTTCGAATGTGTTAATGTAATATAACTAATAGATTGCTTTAAAGTAAGCACATTTCATACCAAATACAGAAGAAAGAAAAATATTCTGATACGTATATTGTGTTTGTCTTGTAATTTGTCTTTGAATTTCTAAATGAATATTTATATAACATTATGTTTGTAATGTTTTTGTACACGAACAATCTTTAAATATTACATTTTTCAAATATAAGTCATGTCTGTCTTTTCTAGAAGATATGTTTTCATTGCCTTCTTAAGTTATAGAAACATTTTATTACATACCTTCAATTAGATGAACTTCTTACCAACACAAACAGAACGTGTAAAGCGCATAACAAAATAATTACTACTATTTCATACTTTTGGAAGGAATTTGAATTTGACCATCTTTTGAATTCTCAAAAAAATAAATCTTGAAAGATGTTTCAAGCATTCTAGAAGATTTGAAAGTTTTCTATTCCCGTTTGCAGATATAACTTTCTTTTCCTAGACATTGAATCATTTTCATTGTGCCCAAAGATATAAAAATAGTTAAATGTCTACAAAATGTATGTGGGTATTTTATCTTTATTTATTTAAATTATTCGTTTAAATGCCACTTAATAATGTAATGGATTTAAGGATTTTAATAAGATTTCGAATATCATAGTTTATGTAGTTAGATACATATAGTCTCAGAAATAGTGTTGTGTCAAAGTCAACTAATCAAGGAATAATTAGCCGAGAGCATTGTTGGCATCCTTTTAAACATAAAACATACTGTTTTATATGATACAAATAAATTCAACTTAAAAGACATAGTGTTCTAAGTCACATTGAACACTCTGATTTTAACAATTTTTCAAAAAAAGTTACAAGGACTGTTCTATCTCCAAATGTTATTTTAGGTTTTTAAGCAAGGAAATATTAAAATCCACATATCTTTAACGATATTGAGATGTGTTCTCTCAGAGACATAGATAACAGAGATAGACAACTTCCTAGCCAGTTAAAATATCACGCGTGCCTGCGAAACTTAAAACTTGTAGCAAGTAAACCTTTTTAACCAGATATCAAAATCAGTAAAATAATACATTTTCTGAAAGCTTATGCATTAGTCTATGGCTGCAGGTAAAAATATTTACAGTTCCCAAATAAATAAATGATACATCAATTTTTAAAGAGAACTACTTAATAATTTTTGTTACAAAACTATTCATATGACGAAAAAACTGGCTAAGTGGGTATGTTCTGCTATGTTTTTCTAAGTGAAAGGTATGGAAAGTTACCAATATTTTAACATGCAGCAATAGATAAAAGATTTACCTTTCAAATGGTATATAATATTAAAGGATCAAATGTACATCCATTAAGTTTTATTTGCTACAAAATGCCTATTTTTTCACTTTTTGATAGGCATGAATGATATTTCAATGGAGTATATAGGAGCTGCTTATCTCTGTTATCTATGTCTCTGGTTCTCTACACCACACCACGTTTAGTAGTTTTAAAATTTTCAAAATCCAACAATAAATAAAAAAAGTTATGCAATACTAAATCTTTACATGCTTTTTTCTCAAAAACAACAAATTGGCACTTAGAACAAAACGTTTTTCAAGCGAAGAATTGCAGACTCGGTTTGGTGGAGTCTGTACATGTAATGTGAAGTCTACTCGATTATTAAATAACTGCCTATAAAAAAAACAAATAAATAATATAAGGGATGAATACTGATATATTGACTTATTATAACGTTAAATGTATTAATTAAGTCTATCACAGTATATATTAGAAGTAATTTTTTTTTAACTTTCATTTATGTGGTAAAAAGGCTATAAAAGTTCCGATATAAAGAATAGTGGTTTGCATGAAAATGTACATTTGCGTTATTTACCAACTGATATTATATGGAGTAAGGTTAATCAAGAAATGACACTGTATAAGAAGTAAATATTATAAAACGTTCATTATAGTGAATTAAGCTATATCTTACATTTATTTGCCCTAAAATTTATAAACGGCAAAATTACTTTTTTCCATAATAGCATATTCAATTTTTGAAAGAGTTGTTACCAAGAATGTTCCTGTTATTAAACACACATGAATACTGTTGATCTACGAAACGCGGAAGAAGTTATCTTTCTGCTATTTTACAAAATATAGGAAAGGTTGTTTACCGTTTAGTAATGATTTCGTGACTTAGGGAATATACTAATGAATTTCGTTATAAAGGGTATTTTGAATATATGTAAACAAAATGCAAACAATAGTTCTATAAACTACGGACATTAGATATAAAGTTCTATTCACTTTAACAAAATACATTTCTTGTTATTCAGTAGGTTGAGCAGTGTTTTCATTAAGTATGAGTTCACAATGGGTCCGCAAAACGCATAATTATTATATTGTTATGACATATAAAGGTGTGTTGTTTTTCGGATTAACTGAAATAATAACATACAAATTACTTTAAATAATGTTATTATGAATTTTTAATAACTATATAAAAGACAAATATCAGCATTAAACCCATATCGAAGCACTGCATAAATACTTTAAAACCAATATTAAAATTTATAAGTTACAATAACTACGTTTCCCAAAATAACGAATGAAAATTAAATTGCGTAATATATAAATGTATGAAATAAGAAATGTGGAGAAAATCAAAATACTTGCAGAAACATGCATTATTAATATCAAATATCATAAAAAAAAAGATTAAAATAGTAACAAATGTGAATGGATGCAGCATATCTAGGCACTCAGAACTAATAACAATGTTGTATTCCTGGGAAAGCACACT